AAAAAAAAAAAATCCCATCTTCAGATACATACATTTAAAGACTAAATATCTTTGGATCCAAGCCCAGCAGAAATCGACAGCTTCACATTTTTGTGGATCTACATCAACTTTTGATGCTAGGCAGTGACCAAAGACAGTGATGACAATAAAGTGTGTGTTCAAGTAAATTTTGCCTGGATTATACCAATCAATAAAGCCTATATTCTACATAGAAAAGTTATGTAGAAACCCATGAAGAAAAAACTCTATCATCTTTATAAAAACAATCTCTTCTTCCTCTTATTACTAATCTTAATAAATAAATAAAATTCTAGGTGAAAGGAGTCATCTCATTTTAATATGGCTGGATAAAAGTGAAATATTTCATTTCTGGATAGCTTTTCACTAAGAACACTAGAAACCTTAAGACATCTAATAGTTACTGCTTCTGTTCAACCACATTCAATTTCAATTTTCATATTAAAATTCCTCCAAATGATGAAATAAGAAATTAAAAAAGAAATACCCTTGAAACATACTTTGGGAGACTAGAAAACAAAATGGCTTAAAAAACTTCCTTTGCAGTAATCTTAAACTATGTAATACCTTTTTAAGGGAAAAAAAAAAAAACCCAACTAAGTAAAATAGGCATAAACCATAACCAAGTAGTTTCATAAAAAAGAAATACTAGGTGGAAAAAAAATCACAAAGATATTCAATTGATTCATAAAAAATGTTAATTAAAACCAATAAAATACCAATTTTGATCCATTAAACTGGCAAACATTTTTTAAAAAGTCTATTACCCATTTCGATGAGATTGTACAGAAATAAATATTCTCATATAACTTTGACGTATAAGCAAAATATTTTGTGAGGATATGTCCCACCATCTATGAAAATGTTCAATAAAATATCTAGGGATTTTCCACACACAAACTAACACAAGTACATAAAGAATTAGGTTCACAGATGTTTAGTGAATATAATTTTTAATACTAAAATTCTGGAAGCAATTATATAGTAAATCCTGATAAAAATGCATACAGAGCACTCTACAATACCAAAACATGATATAGATTTCTATGAATAATAATACTTTGTTCACTTATTACCTCTGCCACTCTTTCTGCTGTGGTGAAAGATCAAATATTACCTGAAATAAAAGAAAACATAATTACTGGCACTGTCAAATATTCTTGGTTTTTCTAGCACAATTTTTAAAAATTCTCTGAGTAAGAAACATAAATTTAGAGTGTTACTAAAAACAGGTATTCATGATTTATATTTAATCTTCTATAAGTCAAATTATAAAATTTTAACGTAATTCTATTCAAAAATAGAATAAAATTTACTATTCACAAATAGGTTCCTGTTAAAGTTATCTGTTTTTATTGACAGATATAAATAGTCAATCTATCAGGATATAAAATGGTATTTTACGACTTAAATCATTTAAATCATGGCAGGATGAAACTAACAACTATGGTTGTGAGTGGGAAGGCATATAGCTTAAGTGTAAAATTCGAGGATTCAAAACCCATATTCTTGCTAGGAGGCAATAAGAATTCTCTCCTCAGCCAAATCTGCATTTGCAGGCCAAATAGCTTCCTCTATGACTGGCACAGAAATTCATGCTAGTCTGTAAATCATCCCTATATTTTTGCCAAAAAAAGAAATCTCAATTCCCTCTACAAAATGATAGACAAAAATAAAAAAGACAAAAAAAAGGAATGGTAAAAATTAAAAGCAATGAAACATTATTAAAATTGAAAAACTAGCCAGCCTGGTGGCTAATGCCTACAATCTCAGAGGCTCAGGAGACTAAGGCAGGAGGATTGTGAGTTCAAAGCCAGTCTCAGCAAAAGCAAGGCACTAATAACTCAGTGAGACCGCATCTCTAAATAAAAATATAAATTAGGGCTGGGGATGTGGCTCAGAGGTTGAGGGACCCTGAGTTCAATCCCCAGTACCAAAAAAAAAAAAAAAAAAAATTTTTTTTTTAAAACTATTCTTACAATAGTATAAAACATTTTTGCAAATGTTAAAGTGTCTAATCATTTGGATTAATATTTCCAGATAGCTCAATATGTTGTAACAGTATCCGCTGAACTGAAAGGTATATAGCTTCATGTAAAAATTACTAAAAAGTCAATTGTATCAGCAGGAAAACAGAGGTCAGGAAGAAAGGGAAAGAGTAGCAATAACAAATTCACTTTTCTATACAAATTTCTACTTAAAAGAGTGTACACCAAAAGTACATGTTTTGCTGCTGTAAAAAAAAAAAACTAATATGAATTCAGCAATCAAAATTCCATTCAGTTACTTCAAGTCTTCTTCTACGTACTACTTTGAGTTATCATTTTGCAATTTTCCTTAAAGAAGGATTCACAAGTGCCAGTGGTGAACAAAAAAGAATTCAAGAGTAGAATACATATGTAAACACAAGTACCACAACACCAAAAGGCAGTCAGCAACTACGAAGTAGTTGACAATTGCATCCCTTTTCTCAGAAGCTTCTTTAGGGCTAATCCTGATTAGGTCTTGTTATCACTGTACCTATCCCCATAATGTGTCTGCTGATAAACCAATTATATTTTTGTACAACTGTGCTTTGAAGATATTAAGAGAATGTTAACATTTCCTAAGGCTTGAGAAGTGAAAATGAGGTATGAATTAATACATGCCTATGAAATTTCTCTTAGATAATGCTTCATTCCTGATTATGATAAGAGAAATTCAGCTCAAGTATTTTTAAAGACTAAAATTTTGTACAAGTAGAATAGGACATAAAAGTTTCTAAATTATTAGAGAAAAAGCAGAAAATTTTATCACTATGGCAACTAAAAGCAAAGACACAAGGAAACTATTAGGAAGCATTAACAAAAAATATAAAAAAGTTTAAACATAAAACAGATTTTAGAGGCTCATTCCTAAATGTTAACAATGGCTATGCCAAGTCTTTGACATTAGACTTTTCTCTCCTGCCCTCCACCTAAATTTTGCACAAATATGGATTACCTATGTAATAAGAAAAATTACATTAAAAACTCAGATAAAACTAAAAGCAAATGTCAAACTGGTCTTCAAGTATATAATTCCTCAAACTGTATACTTCAAAAATTACATGAATTAAACTTACTGGTTCATAAACTAGACCATCTGCAGATGCAACCATTGTTTCTGCTAAATCCAATACATCTGCTCCAACATCTGCATTAAAAAGAAAAAAATTAGAAGGTTTTACATTCTATGCTCAGAGCCAAATGACATCAGATATAAACAAATTAAAATGACTAACAGAAAACTCATTATCACTTTCCTATAGTGTTTATTTGTTCAAAAGTTAAAATAGTACCATTAATGTAGCTTTTGTGGATATTATTCCAAAACTGAAAAATGATATTTTTATTTCTTGCTCAGAAAAGTAGATGACAAAGATGTGTATGGTAAATAACATAAATCTTAACTGAATTAAAAAGCTTTGCAAAAATCGTCAAGAACCTCATCAGAAGTAATAAATGGCTGCTGAACAAAATATTAACTAAGAATTACTTTTCAAGATTAAAAGGAATCTTAAAGCTGTGAAATCTTTAAAAAGTCAAGAAATAGAAAACCTTATTTTGAAAAGATTACTATATAACTCAAAATTGGGGATATAAAGTATTTCCTTATTTCTTAAAATTTTATAACATAAGAAAAAATAAATAAACGGGAAAAAGATTTTTTTTTTACTTTTTTTTTTTTTTTAGTTGTAGATGAACACAATACCTTTATTTTATTCATTTATTTTTATGTGGTGCTGAGGATCGAACCCAGTGTCTCACACTTGCTAGGCAAGCGCTCTACCACTGAGCCACAACCCCAGCCCTGGAAAAGAGATTTAAAGTTGTTCTGAGATAAAAATCTTCCAGAAACTAATCTGTTACATTGGATAAGACTATTTCACACTAAACAATTTTATCTAAACTAATGATTTCTTGGTTTCCATGTTTTTAAGCAATAACTTAAAAGACCATTTTCATATAAAAGCAGCCTCATTTTCGACAGCACTACAAATTCAAACATTATCTGACATATTAGTATTTTTCCACTCTGACAATACAGAAAGCCAGAAAAGAGAAAAAAAAATGTAAATATCACTATTCTCTTAAATGAACTGAATTTCTATTTTAAAATATATGAATAAAAGTATAGCAAATGTGACAAATTAAAATGGTGAAACAGAATGTTTGTGGAATATGAGTACAGAACCTGTTACTTCAAACAAGAAAGAATGTCTACTCTAGAATTCTGATAAAACTTCCCTCCAATTTTCTTCATTTTAATTATACTATGTGAATTAAATCTCTTTATGAAGATGAAATATAATGAATAAAAACCGAGGTGAAACTATTTTCATTATTAAATAAAATCACAATAAAATGTTTAATTTCATAAAGGAAAAACAAGATTACAATACAATGAATAGCTTTTAATTTCTACTGGCAATTGATGGAGAGATAAACTACATAGAGATTCATCAGGTTAAGATGTACTTACATTGACACTTCATGGCAACAGTAATATCTATGTTGATTCTCAATTTGCTAAAAGACAAAAAAGTAAATGTTAGTATCTATTAGTTAATCAACAAAATATCAAAAGTATAAATCAATTATGAAAAACCTGGATTTCAAACAGAGAAAAATATATCAATTAGAACTTAGATTGCATTTCTTATGGCCAAAACAAAGGCACTTTAAAAATAAAAGTTCTATTTTGATTAATCCAAAAACTTGAGTTCAGATTTTTAACACAATTGCTCAGATAATGATAATAGCAACTCTACCATAATAGATGATAACAATAAGTAATCCAAAGTTTTAACCTCTGTTTATATAAACTTTGGATACAATATTCCTTTAAGAATATAAACACCAAAAATTAAGAATTAAGTATACTGTTTTTTTTCCTCTACCTACATCATGCATTACGAATGTAATATAATATTTGTATAATGTAATATACAAATATTCTCTTCTTTTTAAAAAATATTTTTTAGTTGTCATTGGATCTTTATTTTAGTTATTTATATGCAGTGCTGAGAATCTAACCCAGTGCCTCACGTATGCTAGGCAGGCATATCACTGGACTACAACCTCAGCCCTCTTTCTTATCCTATATCATGAAACTATAAAGTTAATGGCTTCCAATTAACTTTTTTCTAACAAACCACCAGTACTCAAAGTAGCATTAATGTTGGCATAAAATCACATAACTACTAAAGTGGCATACTGGGTCTGCATAACTCAGGATAAATATATCAAATTATCAGAAAACAAACATCTGATGCTTAAAGTTTTGTATAGCCTTTTAAAAGGTTTGATTATTTTCAAATGATTAGTTTGAATCAATTTACAATACAAAAATTAATTAAGCAATATAAATAGTAGAATGAGACCATCAAATTCAATCCTTCATTTCCTATAAAAACTTTATTGCTAATAATTTTCATCTAATCTCAACAGGGATTACAAAATTTAAAACTTCATAGTGTCTTAAAGTTGTCTATAGTTCAAACTGTGCTCAAAATAAGTTTGAGGCTTAGTTCCAGGAAAAACTGTAGGAACCAGAGGAGGAGGCCACATAAGCAGATTCTGGGGTGCCCCTACTACACTGATAACATGCTTAATCTAGACTACATTTGGAAAATAAAAATGGTTTAATTTATGCTATAAACAAACAAAATAACAATAAAAAATGTCCTGAAAACTAATGGCATCTAGAATAGTAACTCATGTTACAGATGCAGAAACAGGTCCAAAAGTAGTCAATTGTATGAATTGCTCAAGGTTATACAACAATTTATATATGTTGACCTAATTATAAATCCCATGAGAAAGATACAATAAATGTTATTCTTTTTTACCGATTAGAAAACTGAAGTACATGCAGATACAGATTTAGTGACTTCCTAAAGTGACAAAGCTCGTGAATAACAGACCTGGAATTTAAATGGAGAACTAAATGTGTCTTCTTCTCTAGTGTACTCTTAATATTATAAACATGTTATATGCAATCCAAAAAAAATCCAAATAAAAGAATAAATGATAAAAGTATATTTTATCTCCTACAGTACTATATTTTCAAAGGTTAAAAAGTAAATCTACATATCAAAATTTATCTTAGATATAATTCATAGAAGTCAAGTTATAAGTATACACAATTTATGTTTCAGTCCATATATGTCAGTAAGATATTTCAAAGTATAAAGAATAGAGTTTCAAACAATTCTCACAGCTATTTACATCTAAGGAAAAACATATGTTCTCCTAATTTGTATACAAGTACAAATTAATCAGAGACCAGTATCTAAATGATTCCAAATGTTTCAATTTAATGCATGTAATTAGTAAGAATTTTTCAGGACCATTTCTTCAAAACTAAAAGCAAATATAAAAGGTTAGACATTTTTTCAAAAGATCCACTTTTAAAATAACTTGAATCTAAAAGTATTTCAAAAAGAAAACAGTTACCTAGAAAAATCCTTGTCAACTTCATATTCGTACTTCATCCACGTATCTTGATACACTGAGAATTCCATTATTGTTAATAAAGCCATAGTGGTAAATGCTATTAGAGAAACTGAGAAATATAATACCACCAAATTAAAAAAAAATTTAAAAATACACAACAGTAAACTATTTTAAGTGAGATTAAAAGTAGCAATATAAAAAATGTGTCTAATATGATTTCCATTTAAATAAATACTATAAAAATTTTTCTTCAAAATGTTTACTATATATTTTTTCTAAAACAATTTAAAATGAAAATTTAATAAGCACAAATATGAACACAAACAACTGAATACTGAGAAAGCAATTTTCTGCTCTAATTTTAAAGGCATCTCTCACTAAATAGGTTTGCTATAATTTTACCAGACATAAACTATTTTGTTTCATATAGCACTGTGAGATATAATAAATGATGAAAATAAGCATCCTCACTGGCCAAATTTGAAAATATTCCCCTCAGTGTTTAAAAAAAAATGCATCTATGCAAATAGCCCAATTTACAACAAAAAATGTATTACTTTCATTAACAAAACTTAAATCATAAAAGATCAGAAATATTAAGCATTTTATTACACATTTTATTCAATAAAATAGAATCATATGTGAAATATGTTATTTCATTACCTCTTCATGGGAAAATAAATAGTAACATTATTAAAGTCATATTATTCTTACAGTTCTTACTATTTTATTTAACAAACCCTTCTGTGTAAGCCACTACTCTAAGCATAATACATAGTAAGTTATTCGATACATTAACCCTAGTGAGTAAATACTGATATACCTGCTTCATAAAACTAGTTTTGAGTAACTTCCTTATAGGAAGCAGCAGAGGTGGGATCTTAATCCAGATAGTTTAAGTCTGGATTTAAAGTTTAAGTTCTTAAGCATTACCTCATGCTGCCTCTCAAACACTAATGTGAAATTTAAGAAATTTCTACAACGTTTATATTAACTTAATCAAAATAGGAATGAGGCAGTGTCAACATCCTTATATAATTTTTTGAAATTTTTTTCCATTTATATATTAAAATCTTGTTAATGTAAATACCGTAACTGAAGAGTACCAAAATAGTAAAATTGCATTAATTTATTAACAGACACTGTTAAATGTATGAGTGGAATTTGGTTCAATGTTATACAGAATATAAACAAGAATAAAACCAGGGCAACAGTGACACAAGGACAGACAAACGAATTACAAAGTTACTGCGCAATTCACTAATGAGTTCTTCCTCTTGGCTACATTTCTATATGTTCTTGATTGAATCACTCGAAACTACTTACTGAGAAAATTTTATTTGAACTAAAACTCACCTGTTCCCCCACTGGCTGAAGTCTCTACATAGCTGTCAGGAACCTTTGGAAAGGCATCCAACTCTTTCACCAAATTTAAGGTTTTTCTCCGATTCAGTCGCCTCATCTTCAGGAAAACCCTCCTCTTCCTTCATATAGTCATGCTGAGAAATAAATAATAATTAAATGAATTCTATAAAATGATGAAAGGTTTCTTTTAGTTTAGGGTAAGATATCCTTAGAAATTCAGTGTTCTTATCCTTCCTTGAGAAAATAATACTCATACCCATTCCTTTCCCCACTCCACCCTAACAAAAAAACTACTAATAAAGGGCAATTTACATATACAAACAATACATAGCACAAAAACAATTCAGTCACACTGTAATGTTCAAACATACAAATCAAAATAAAAATGATTTTGTTATTAAATTGACAAATAAAAATAAAACATTCCCAGCAATGGATAAAAATGAAATAAGACATACATACATTGCTAACAAGGACATAAATGTCATCACTTCCTTTTTCACTAAATGAATTCCTCATTAGAAATGGATCCTAAGGCAAGAATCTGGGTTAAGAACAAAAATTTGATTACAAAAATATTTCTTATAGTGTTTTGTTTGTTTGGTACTGGGGACTGAATCCATGGGCAGTCAACCATTGAGGTATATTTGCAGCCCTTTTTATTTTAATTCTAGATGGGGTCTTGCTAAGTTGCTGAGGCGGGCCCGGAACTTGTTAACTGAGATTATAGGCATGAACCACTGCACCCAGCTATTTTATTATTATTTTTTTTTTTGTTAAATATTCAAGACAATTAAACTCAGGGTATCCACTATACAAATTATGGTGAAATTACTGGTCTTAATCTCTATAACTAGTAAAAAGCATAAAAGAAAACATTTAATGACAGAAGAAAACACTTATGATACATTAAGAAGATTCAAAGGCCTTAGAAGTTCTAATTTTAAGAGACAAGAAAAGATACAAGAAACAAACTTAAGTCCAAACATAAAAATGTTAAAAGTAGATCATTAGAGGATTTTCATTTTTTTACATAATTGCAAAGTTTCAAAATTGCTTTTAAAATATTATTTAAAATTTGATTGCTTGCCATTCTTTTTGATCAATATGCCAACTATATCTAAAATGTTATAAAGTCAAACAAATGAGAACTCAATTCCTAGATATTCTGCAATTTTAATAATATCATCATCCCTCACTATCCATGGGGGATTGGTTCCAGGAGACCCCAGGAGATAACAAAATCCTCAGATGTTCAAGTCCCTCATATAAAATAGTGTAGTACTTGCATAGAACCCAAGCATTTCCTCTTGTATATCTTAAATAATCTCTAGATAATTAATAATACCTAACACAATACATATATATATGCTAGGTAAATAGTTGTACTATTACTGCTTAAGGATCATTGACAAGGAGAAAAGTCTGTACATTTTCAGTTAATATATTATTTTTCTCTGAATATTTTCAGTCAAGGTTTGTTGATCCATGGATGTGAAGCCCATGATATGCCCAGCCAGCTGTATCCATGTGTAAATACTACAAGTGATAACAAAGAATTCCCAGAAATCAATGGTGTATTAGTAAAATTAACACATAATAGCAGAATGAATTCTAGATGGTTGCAGAAGTTACTGTAAGGAAAAAGTATCTCTAGAAGACAGACTTTGGTTCTGAAATCCAATGACTAGAATTAATATATAAATAGGCCACAGAAAGGGCATTCATGGAGAAAAACTGGTAGTTATCACAAATGACACCCAAAAGAGAGAGCCCCAACCAGGGACACTTTTGACCAATCTACCACTGAGTTACTGCTGTAAAGTGGGGTTGAAAGTATTAATAGTTTAATTTCATTTACTCTTAAAAACATCCAACTTCCATTGCTGACTCCTTGCTTACAACCTGACCTTCAGATTATGATTTTTTTCAAAACCTAGTAAAATAGATGATGTGGACAAGAGATGGCAGTTTCTAATCTCCATATCAATTATAAACCTTTTATTTATTTGTAAATTAAGCTTCTTGAGTATTTGTTGGGCATAAGTCATGCCCCTGAGTCTGCTCTATTCTGAGGAAGTAATCAAATTTTCCATACCTGCTTTGTGGTATGGAAAAACCACATCAAGGTTAACCTGCATCAAGGTTAACCTTTCTTCGATCTCTACTTGTCCTTTTTGATTAGTTAAATGTTAAATATGTTCATGCCTCTTTATCTTTAAAATAAAACCCTTTCTTAAACTCAAGTCAAACTCTATAGATTTCTGGCAACATCTTTAACCAAACATATGAGTTGTCTCCATTCATCTATTATGAGTACTTCCTTACACAATGGTGGGATTCACTTAGTATATGTTAAGAGTCATAGGACATATGTACTTTTTTCATTTGAGAATCTATAAAACTGTGGCCCATGGATTGTGGGACTCTTTGATAACCCCCTTTTTCAGAAAAGTATTCACCACTCTTAACTAAATTTTCTCTCAGCAAGGTTATTAAGAACTTCCTTAGTACTAAGCCTAAGAACACATCTCAGTTCTTACCTAATGTCACCTGGGAAAAACTTCTTTTCTTTTTGAAATAGTTACCTTGGCCTAAGTGATACAGATTGAGAACCCAATCCAAAAATCAAAAATGCTCTGAAATCCAAGACTTCTGAGCACAGACATGCCAACTCAAAAAGTTTCAAATTTTGGAGTATTTTGGATGCTCTACTGGTAAAGACCATCCTAGTATTTCAAAATTAGAAAAACCATGAAATCCGAAACACTTCTGGGTTCCAAGCACTTCAGATAATGGATACTCAACCCATACTGCACTCCTGATTTTCATTTTACCTCTTTGGCTAATTTTGCAGATCTATTTTCCTCTCGCATTCTCTACACTAGGCCTTCCTCCCAACCTCCATGTTTTCCTAAAGTAATTTCCTATTCCTTCAGTTTCCATTTACATGTTGAATCCTCCAAATCTTTCCAGACAGCCCGAATCTCTCTGCACAGAAATATCTTCTTGTCTTCTCTTCCACTTTCATTTAGACATCCCAAAGACAACCCAGACTCAGCAAGTCCAAAAAATGATCATTTCATCCTATCAAAACTGTTTCTCCTATATCTTCCTAGTTAATTATTAACACCATGTATCCAATTGCATAAGCTAGAAACAGGTACCATTAGACTTAGGCTTTTCCTAAAGTTCTCTCAAAATGGTCCATTCTCTCTCCTTGAGGGTCCACTGAGAAGTTCCTAAGTAGAAACCTAGTCCCAACTGCTACAATCTAGTGCATTGCTTCAACAAATTCTAACCTTCAACCCCTCAATTCATTCTCCATACTCCCTTTTAAAACATAAATTTGATCATATATTTCTCTTGAAATACCTAGATAAGTTCCATTGCACTGAGCATGTACTCTATCCTAACACAGTTTAAAAATCCCTCCAAAATCCAAGTCCTGATTACCTTTCTTCAAACTCAACTCCTAGCAGTTCAAGTTTCAGCTTCAAGAAAAATCACATTATACTTTTCAAATATGCTGTTCTCTCTCCCCTAAATATTTTCTATTCCCTACCCAACTCTCATTTGACTATTTACTCCTTGCCGAAGTCTGGCTTGGCACAATTCAGGAGCCACTTGTCAAAAGAAACTAACTTTATTTTTAGAACTACAAACGCCAAACAAAACAGCTCCTTAGGGAAAAA